AAATTTCAACGAAAAAAATCATGACGGGTCCAAATCCCACTGGTCATGTGTCCATTATAATACCTAGGTCTATGTACAGAACCAACATAATCTATATAAATTATTGCAATAGCATGGATATAGCAAATTGTGAGTCAACACAATAGGGATAATATTATATATTTCAATTTGGATAAATTTTTATATGTCTACCTGCACATCAGGGTTCATATTCGTTGGAGAGGTTCTGGGAAAATTGAAGGGTAGTTAGGATTGTCGAATTGCCGCGAGAAGCTCGGGGCGAGTGATGTAACAAAGGATCACATACGATGCGTCAATTCACGACGATGGATACAGAATACCTCTAACATTGGGTGAGAACTAAAACCTGTGTGCCATTTCGTGCAACAAAGTTGGCCCACACTCGTAGTGGAAATATGAGCTGAGACAGTCTGAACTAGTTCGAACGTGATACCAAGAAGAGTGTGGTTGTCATCCGCAATACTGTTCCGGAGCGAAGTTGGAGGCTGCCCGATACCACACCACACAACTGTATTTGGAATATTCTGACTAGCCATAGCGGGATGTATCATAGGTGGTACCAGAAGTCTCGAAGATTTGTGTACCGAGATCTGGAAATAGTACTTCAGTAGAATGATGAGATGGGGTATGGGGAACATCAATCTATCGACCAGTACTGAATGGGGATCAATTGGTGCCCGCTGTTTATGAAGAAGGAAGCTCCCAAGAGGTTCGTGGAGAGTTCATGTGCCATGGTAATCATATCGATTCTGTAGTTGTTGTAGTAAGTACGGTCCAATTGAGGGTAAATTAGGGCCCACGAGAATACGTCATTACCAGAAAACTGATACAAGCAAAGTGGTTGGACGTAAAATTCTTATCTCCGGGGCACACAGGACAAAGGCATCCACCAGTACGATAGTCAAGCAATTTGAACAGGAACGTGTTGGTTGCTATCATGGCACAAAGGCGGATTAAGGTGTGTTCACGGTAATGGGTAAAGCTGTCATGGGAGGGCTTGTACTGGTCCATGATAGGAAGTTTTCCCCTTATATGTCGATAGTAGTATCGACGGCGAGTCTTGCCTGCCATCTTCTTAGTTTTGAGACGTTGTGTGGTAATCTGTTGGATCTGCTCGCGGAGCTTATGTAGTTCTTTGTGTTCAGGTGTGTGCCCGCCCCTTGATTCTAGGTACGCGTGAATACTGAACGGTAATTGGTCCGAGGTCTGCTACGAGTCCAAGCGGGGGTTAGTTAGTGGGGTGAGTGGGTTAGTACTATTGATCGAGTCAAGGTGTGGTCCCAGGCAGCCACCAAGGTACACCGCAAACTGGCGTGCTGGAAGTAAACCGCAGAAATGAAGCAGCCAGATGCGCTGGTATGGGAGTTTTGGAAATATAGTTCCTGTTATGATGGCTGCTGCTTGAATTATTGCTAAGTTGCAACGCTCGTACAGCGACTTCAACGCGGCATGCCAATATGCAATGATATTCAGACCATAGGTGGTCGTTGAAAGAATATATGGTCTTGAATATTTTCGCGGATGGGGCCAACTTATTCCATGAAACACATACATTCGGAAGGACACTATAGCTTAGAGTAATGCTGCCACGAGGTGGTCCATGTGTTTTACAAAGTCGACACCCGGTAAGTTCTGGGACAGTTGAGATCCCAAGAATTTGGAAAGCTGTGGATAGATGTCAGAGAGCTCCGCCGCCATGGGCATGGGAGGGATAAGTAGGCGTCTGTTGAGAGTGTTTGCACTTGGGGAGCCTACTAGCGCTGGCGTGATGAGATGTCATTCGATACGGAGAAGCGCTACCGCATACAACACACTCGAGGATCTCTTATCGGGGCTTAGGAATTCCTTGTTCAAGAATGGATTGGCGACCCCAATCATCGATCGCGTTCGGGAAAGGTTGTATCCGAACAGACTACGAAGTCTGGATGCGCTTGTCATCTACAAAGAGGTAGGAGCGAAGAAATTTCGGCCGAAATTACGCAAGCGTAATAGCCAGGGAGTCCATATAAATGATGAAAAGCTGTGGACCGACAATCGAACCTTGGTGTATGCCATTCGTTCTTAGAAATTGAGGTAACAGCTTCCCACGATATGTCACTTGTGTGGGAACATTCTCGAACAATGTACAACTGGTCCAGTTCGCTGGCATTCCAGCGTGGTGTAACAGCATTCAAATGCGCGGGAGGACCACTTTATCGTATGCTTTGGTGATGTCAAGACACACATCTCGGATTGTGTCTCAGGTTCCATCGCGGCTAGGGCATGAGTATGGTATGAGTAGCGTGATTTAAATCCAGCTTAAGTTGCATGGGTGGTTGATCCAGGGTGGTTTGTTATCAGCTGTAAGAAGCACTTCTCAGAAATGTGTCGAACAATCTGCGATAAGGTTATCGGTCGGAAATCGGCAGAGGATGCAATATCCGTGTCCGCTTTCTTCGGATGCGCTGTCAAGAGAGTACAGTTGAGAGCTTTAGGGAATGTACCAGTCATTAAGTGGGCGGAGAATGCCTCATCCAAAATGCTACTAAGTGGGCTGTCAGGGCCAGGGCGTCCCATAGTTGGGGGTTCAGGTGATCGTTCTACTGCGGCTTTAAGGAAAAGGATATGGATACCATCTGGGCCAGGACCCTTATTTAGATAACGCACGAATGCAGTTATTCACTCGAAGATGGTGTTGGAGGTGCTGGTGCTGTGTCCGGTGCGATGACGTGTGGGCTAGTTGAGTTGAAGAGATATTGGTAGTAATCCGTCAGTGCAGCGCGCACATCAGGCTTCATATTCGTTGGAGTGATTCTGGGAAAATTGAACTATTTTTTTCATCTCCAACAGTTTTAGCGTGAGATGCAATCTGTTTGTTTCACGTTGCTGATCTCGTTACTGCGACTACTACTTATTACCGAAAAAGGTTCAAGTTTTTTCCCGCGCGTTCTAGCAGAGAATAAATTTCGTACATTCTGGTAATGGTAGAAACAATTATCAAATACCTTGTCATATCGCATGCGGAAGCTCGTGATAGGTTAAATATCCTTTTAAGCAAATTTTTTTTTCACAAGTACGAACTGTGATACGTATTCAACACCGTACTGTCGCTTTTATTTGATTTATTACAGAATATCTCTCATCTATATTTGAGTTAAAACCGATGATGTGCGCCTGACTTCGGGTCTGAGGTCCTCGAAGAGTAGTTTGATATGGATGAAGTCTTGGGTGGCAGGTGCCGGGCACCACATATTGATCTAAAGTATATTGCCAGGTTGTGAATTTCTCGTTGCAGACAAATCGTAAATGAGAACTGTGCCGAGAGACAACTTCAGTATGAAGATACGAATCACAACACTAGAATAAAGGTGTCTTTCAGAGTGACAAGACACTTTGCATCTTAAATACAACAAAATAAATTGACCCGTAATATCATGTCGTGCAGTGCAATGATCTTCTTGATGTTGATGCCAACCACTTACCGTTCACGTATTCAAACCACTGACCGGTAATGAAACGAAACTGATGATCATTCTACTGAGACTATTCAGAGACCGTTTTATATTAGTTAATTGGGAAAAAAAATGTCGGTCACCTGATTCTGCTAAAATTGAGAATATTGTAATGGAAATGCATCTTGTAGAATGTATTAAGCAGCTCATATATCACGCAGATGGTGCGAAAACAGTATTAATTAATTAATGGATTTGAAACAAACGAATTTCCGAAACTGACGGCCATTTTAAGCTGTGTGAAGGCCGACGTATGCCACACTCTGAGCTGACCAATTACTACAAAAAACCAACCGCCAAGTCGGTAACAACTGCACTCTAACCCCAGGTGTTGTTTCATCATGGCATCACAGATATGAATTAACACTATGTAGGTACACCTGCTGGAATCCATTTTACGACCCACTGTTAACGCCCCTGGGCATAAATACAAAAGTGTTGTGTCATATGCAACTTCTTAACGTGACGATTGCGGGTCGTCCAAAGCAATCAACTTATCTGACTTATAACTACGAGAAGCTGCATTTGGTGAGTCTGAATTTGTAGTTATAGATAACCGAAAGAATATTTTAGATTCAAACAAAAGTATGCATCCGCTCTCCGTGCTATGATGACCTGGCACCTCATGTCTTGGATTAATTGTCATTTATTCACGAGAAAGTCTGTTAATATCGTACAAAAATGAAAAGCTACAAAAATTGGTATCGCATACCAGCGAGCGTAACAGGAAACATGCATATGGTCTAACTTATGCAGGACCTCAGAATACAATCCACCCATCGGCAGTGTATATATTTCTGTATAGTAGAACACAGCAAATATAGCAAGTAACGTTTGCATGTCAATTAAACAGTACAGCAAACACTATACAAGTCAAGGTCTTGACCCAATTTGACAGTCCTAATGCCTAGAATCTTTAGGTAGGTATACATCTGTGTATTAATTCTGACTTAAGTTACCATAAAAAAACCCGTTTCTCACGTATCACGAAATCCGAGCCCAGGATTATGATATAGAATACTATCAGTCTAGGGATATAATTTCTTTTTGCACGTCGTTAATTGTGCAACCCGTCCTACCACTATTAAGTACTCTTTTTAACTATCGACATCTCTATTAAAGAAAAATTTGTAACTGCCTCGAGGCGCCATATAGCAAACACCACTTTCAAATTACAGTGCTATCTCGATCGCTCCATATGTCCCATACATAATCGGAAGGGAGTATTAATTTAAGTTATATGTTATACATTTCCAGACATATACTTGTGATGGTCACGAAGATAACTATCCCAGTCAAAGGCTGCAGCAACCAAGACAAGTGTAGCTATGGTTTAATTTCTACGTAACCGGAATCATTGTTGTTTTCCTCTGCGCCGCCTAGGATGTCCTGTTTTCGAAATGTGGCTGTACGTTCTTCTATGCGCATCAGCTTGGCGACGGAGGTGGTCACCTTGGATTATCAGCATGCAATTAGGACTGTTAATGCAAATACAGGGGTCACTCCTGTCACGCACGTTTTGTACTAAAGCGGGTAAAAAATTACATAGAACCGAATGAAAGGAATATATGCAAGGGCAAGTTCGAACAACACGAGCTTAGCACACTATACTCATGTTGCGAATACGATGTACGAACAAAACCGAAGGCCGGAGTCAGCATGAACATGCATGCGGACACAATACATACCCATTTGGTGGAGACTAGGTGTCGCAGGTGGCCATTGCATACGAGGTTCTCCTCCAGTTGAGGCAATCTACTCAGATCCCAAGCATCACATACGATGTGCGTTACGTCGGCAGATAGGCGTGTAACAACCTTCCCGCCATGATTGAGTAACTGGGCAACAAAAGTCAATATACACATTCAGAAAATTCTCGCTTGTATTCCGGAGGATAGACACACTAAGGGAAAGGAATATATCCATATCCCGAAGTGCTCAACAGTGAATATTCGAGCACGGCACACGTCTCGAATAGATTTGGTATGAAGCGGGTATTCAAAACTGGAAATACAACTGGAAACGCCACTGTACACGCAGTGAAAGCAACCTAGGTGTTTCAGCCTGGCTCAATTGTGGCCAGACAGAGAGTGCATAACTGTATATTGCCCAATGATAACACAGATGTCCAAAGGTGAGATCAATGAGAACAGAAATCTCATGTAGAACAAAAGGGCGCCCTTACCTGTTGCTCGACAAATGGTAGATGAGACACCTCGATGCCACTGCAGGTATCGCCTATCGTCGCGAAGCGATCAAAGTATGCCACCACCCTCGCGAAAAGTTGTATAGGGGCTGTAACTGTTGTGATGCGAATGTAGTGGGAGGTTAGGTAGACAAGCAGCCTTATATGTATCGAGTGCTCACTTAGACCTTCGAATACTCTGTGGAGTATAAATTACAGTAGGAAGACAACCGCACTAGTGCCAAATTGATGATGTTATTTGTAGACATATAATAATGCGCTTATTCTTCATATCTCAAAAGAGAGACTGCCGGTGACTCTAAAGCCCATACACCACCGGGAATATGTCTTACCATAAGGCAGTAGGGAATATGTCTTACCATAAGGCAGTAAGTCCAAGACGCGTTGTTTTTTCACCTCGTCAGCGCCAGTATCCTGATACTCTTTCCGTTTCGCCATTGCTCGTGAAAAAATAATCTCCAACTAATTTGTACGCATGTAATGACCGATAATTATTAATGGGCTCACATTTGCACGTGCAGATACTGAGCACTCAATGATATGTCGGGGTTATTTGACAAAACTATATGATCTAAGTGTACGATTTCTCAGACAACAATGGAGCAAGACATTCTAAAATGACAGTGAAGCGATTTTGAACTGACACGACAAAACATTGTCGTTCAGCGACCGGAATATCAGCAAGGTCTGCCTACGTAAAACATACCTCGTCCCCGATTAAACGGCTACTGAATGCCGCTCCGTAGCAATCGTAGTGTGCGGCGGTCGTAGCCCGCAGCTGAGCGCTTGCACAGTATATGTGTTGGGGACGCACGGGCACTATCTGCAATTACAACAGACAGCAAACAAAGGGGGTGAGTGTGGGGCGAGACTTTGCGACTGGCGAGACCCATTGTGATAAGTATGTCGTCCGTTTATTCATAAATGATCTGCTTGTAAGGTTCTGTATGGGGCGTAAGGGATCAGTCGCATATACAGTCGAGGTGATCGTAGGTCGCCAAGTATAAACTCGCGTGCGCACTTAGTATCAAATACCAAATATGAACGTATGTGGCAATCAAAGATATGCAGGAGATTCGCCGCATATACAAGTTTCTCTATGCTGCTATTGCAAGCGAATACAGTCAACATTCAATTTCTTACATATGAGGACCTCACGAGAACATACATATACACATGCACATGCACACACACATGTATAAAATATTGACATCAGTCTGAGCATCTATAATATTATAAAATACATTTACTATGTACATATATAGAAGTACACACACACACACACACACACCACACACACACACAAACACTATATAATATAATATACTAATTATATAATATATATATAATACTATATATAAGTATATATATATATNTACATATATCTATATATNTATACGTAACTAACTA